GGAGGCGAAGGACGTGACTCAGCCAACAGCGCTGCCCAGAGGGAACAGCCAGCATTTCAGCATTACAGAGTCACAGACATTAGGCTACTATATATATATATATATATATATATATATACACACACACAATAATGCAGCCAAAATCCTTATAACGTGAGGGAAGAGGACTTTTAAAAAACAAAACAAAACAGTGTTTCTTCTTTGCGTGATTGCTCATGTCGATTCCATGTAGGTGCACGCACCGTGTGCATGCATTGTGGGAAGATTTTCCCTTAACAGTATCCATTGGGCCAGCAGAGGAGCCCCCGGAGTGGCACCGCTATATTGGCTAATATATACTCCGGTTGGAGTTTAGGTCCCTTTCAGCGGAGGGCAGGGTAATCTCCTGAGCTGCCCTAGATGCCATGGTTGCAGTGGCCCACATCATGGCCATGGGACTGGTCTCATGATTCAGCTCGTGGCTGCAGGGATCTGGAGTCCCTCCTGAGCTCCAGGCTACTATTCAGGACCTCCCCTTCGAAAGGCAGTCCCTTTTCTCTGAACAGACTGATCAGCATCTGCATTGCCTTAAGATACTCGGGCCCCAAGGAGTTCATGGGTAGGGGTTTTTACTCCCAGTACTTCCTGGTTCCGAAGATAAAAGGGGGGTTTCGATCCATTCTAGACATCAGGGAACTCAAGACCTTCATTACCAAAGCCAAGTTCAAGATGGTGACCCTGGCATTCATCATCCTATCCCTAAAGCTTGGAGACTGGTACATTGCGCTCGATCAAAAAGATGCCTACTTCCATATTTCCACTACCCCTCACAACAGATGGTTCCTCCGCTTTATGGTTAGCCAGGACCGTTACCAATTTATAGCTCTCCCCTTTGGCCTTTCTATGGCTCCTCATGAAATATATGGCCATAGTCACCGCCATCCTGAGAAAGTGGGGCTTCCAATTGTTCCCTTACCTGGATGACTGACTTGTCCAGGACCCCTCCTTGGACCAGGTGCTGGCCCACATTGGCATGGTATGAGAACTCTTTCAGGAACGGGGTCTTCTACTGAATGTGGCCAAGTCTACCCTGGTCCCCACTAAGGTCATAAAGTTCGTGGGCACCTGGCTGGACTCCACGTGGGCCATGCCCTCCCAGCCCAGGTCACGTTTTCTGGCTATCAGAGAAACTGTCATGACCATGCGGGCATTCCCAATGACCACAGCCAGGAACTGCATGCACCTCCTGGGACTCATGGCCACCTGCACTTATGTGATCCAGTATGCCAAGTTTCACAACCCATCCTTCCACTCTTGGACAGAGTGGTGACTGTTCCCCTCCCAACATCCTCCACTCCCTGGACTGGTGGACTCTAGAGGTGATCTGCACGGGAGTCCCATTCTCCAGGCCATGGCTGATCATTCATTTGATGACGGACGTCTTTGATTCTAGCTCGGGAGCTCATGTCAGTGACATGCAGATCCATGGTATATGGTTGCGGGAGGACCTTTCCCTGCATATCAGTCACAGGGAGCTGCGGGCAGTCTGTCTTGCATGTCGGGGCTTTCTTCCCCTGCTCAGGGGCAGAATGGTTCTTATCCTGTCCAACAACACCTCCGCAGTTTCCTACATAAACAGGCTGGGTTAGGCCCATTCCCCTCCCCTGTGTCGGTAAGCCCTCCAGCTTTGGGAGGTGTGAATTGGGGAGGGTATTCACCTGTTTGCTTCCTACATTCTGTGGTCTCAGAACACGCTGGCGGACCAGCTGAGCAGGTCCTTCTCTGGCCACGAATGGTCCCTTGGGGGATGTGGCCCTCCAAATTTTCCGTAGGTGGGGATTTCTCCTACCTGTTTGTGACCTGCCAGAATAGGAAGTGTCCCAGGTTCTACTCCCTCTTGGGGCTGGGTTGGGGGTCACTGGGAGATGCACTCATTACCCCTTGGCCCAAGGGGCTGCTTTATGCATTTCCACCCTTGGTACACAAAGTGCTCCTATGGGTTCGGGAATTCAGGACCTTCCTCATTCTCATTGTGCCGCCATGGCCCGGACAACATTGGTTC